TGTGACGTGTGCTGCAGGTACAGGTAACTGGGTCTTGACCAGACGTAAAGTGGAGAGCGTACCGTTGAGACTAAGACAAGATGCTGCGCCAATGCAGGCTGCAACCATGTGTTCGGCAGTGTTCAGCAGCCAGCCCTGTGATGAAACAACTACTGAATATTTGTTCTGAGCTGTGCGGTGCAGAAGATTTTGCCACCTTGATCGTTGAGGGCTGAAAGCAGTTTTCCAGGCCAGTTCTGGTTCATTCTACATGCAGTTAACAAAACAAGGCTTGTGACGCGTGTTGCAGGCACAGGCAACTGGGTGCTTGACCAGACGTAAAGTGGAGAGCGTACCGTTGAGACTAAGACGTGATGCTGCGCCCATGCAGGCTGCAACCATGTGTTCGGCAGTGTTCAGTAGCCAGCCCTGTGATGAAACAACTACTGAATATTTGTTCTGAGCTGTGCGGTGCAGAAGATTGTGCCACCTTGATCGTTGAGGGCTGAAAGCAGTTTTTCCAGGCGAGTTCAGGTTCGTGCTACATGCAGTGAACAAAACAAGGCTTGTGACGCGTGTTGCAGGCACAGGTAACTGGGTGCTTGACCAGACGTAAAGTGGAGAGCGTACCGTTGAGACCAAGACAAGATGCTGCGCCGATGCAGGCTGCAACCATGTGTTCGGCAGTGTTCAGCAGCCAGCCCTGTGATGAAACAACTACTGAATATTTGTTCTGAGCTGTGCGGTGCAGAAGATTTTGCCACCTTGATCGTTGAGGGCTGAAAGCAGTTTTTCCAGGCCAGTTCTGGTTCATGCTACATGCAGTGAACAAAACAAGGCTTGTGACGTGTGTTGCAGGTACAGGTAACTGGGTGCTTGACCAGACGTAAAGTGGAGAGCGTACCGTTGAGACTAAGACAAGATGCTGCGCCGATGCAGGCTGCAACCATGTGTTCGGCAGTGTTCAGCAGCCAGCCCTGTGATGAAACAACTACTGAATATTTGTTCTGAGCTGTGCGGTGCAGAAGATTTTGCCACCTTGATCTTTGAGGGCTGAAAGCAGTTTTTCCAGGCCAGTTCTGGTTCATGCTACATGCAGTGAACAAAACAAGGCTTGTGACGCGTGTTGCAGGCACAGGTAACTGGGTGCTTGACCAGACGTAAAGTGGAGAGCGTACCGTTGAGACAAAGACAAGATGCTGCGCCGATGCAGGCTGCAACCATGTGTTCGGCAGTGTTCAGTAGCCAGCCCTTTGATGAAACAACTACTGAATATTTGTTCTGAGCTGTGCGGTGCAGAAGATTTTGCCACCTTGATTGTTGAGGGCTGAAAGCAGTTTTTTCCAGGCCAGTTCTGGTTCATGCTACATGCAGTGAACAAAACAAGGCTTGTGACGCGTGTTGCAGGCACAGGTATCTGGGTGCTTGACCAGACGTAAAGTGGAGAGCGTACCGTTGAGACAAAGACGTGATGCTGCGCCCATGCAGGCTGCAACCATGTGTTCGGCAGTGTTCAGTAGCCAGCCCTGTGATGAAACAACTACTGAATATTTGTTCTGAGCTGTGCGGTGCAGAAGACTTTGCCACCTTGATCGTTGAGGGCTGAAAGCAGTTTTTCCAGGCCAGTTCTGGTTCATGCTACATGCAGTGAACAAAACAAGGCTTGTGACGCGTGTTGCAGGCACAGGTAACTGGGTGCTTGACCAGACGGAAAGTGGAGAGCGTACCAAGCACATGAGGCCACGGAGGAGCCCCCGCCAGAAGGGGAAAGCCCAGTCTGGCCACGCTGAACATCTGCCGATGCCACCATGCAAGAGGCCCACCATGAACCTCCGCCTGAACGCAGAACCTGTCAGACGACACCCAGGCTGCACCGCGCCCCGACATCATTCAACGCAAGCGGCGCCTGGCCCAGCGCCGGAAAGTGGCGCCGACGGATGCTGAACGCGGTGGTGGCACAAATGGGCTAGCACAAATGCACTAGGCTCACTTCAAACAAGAGAGAACTGCACTCCTGAATATGTTTGCTGGCGCTTGCTGCTTGCTGCGGAATCCTTGCTGCCTTCATCGTTGTGGCAGCTAGCATGTAACGATGTAGGTTTGCGAGCCGGCAAGTCACATGGTCACATGGTGGACAGTGATGGTATGGCGGGTTTATGTGGGCACCTCCCTGTGATGAGACATTTGCTGAATATTTCTGCTGAGCACTTGCTGCGGAATCCTTGCCACCTTGATCGTTGAGGGACTCTGTTGCTCAATATTCTGCAGGAAACATGTGGGCTGTTAATATGTTTGCATGCCAGCAAGCGAGCATGCAACAGGTAATTGGATTTCCGTGCATGGTGGATAGTGCCGGCATTTGGGATTATGCGGGCACCTCCCTGTGATGAGACATTTGCTGAATATTTCTGCTGAGCACTTGCTGCGGAATCCTTGCCACCTTGATCGTTGAGGGAGTCCGTTGCTTAAGATTCTGCAGGATACATGTGGGCTGTGTGTACCTTTGCAAGCCAACAAACCAGCAGCATAAAACAGATAATTGGATTGGCGTGCATTGTGGACATGGCTGGCATGCGGAATCATGCGGGCACCTCCCTGTGATGAGATATGTGCTGAATATTTCTGCTGAGCACTTGCTGCGGAATCCTTGCCACCTTGATCGTTGAGGGACTCTGTTGCTCAAGATTCTGCAGGAATCATGTGGGCTGTTAATATGTTTGCATGCCAGCAAGCGAGCATGCAACAGGTAATTGTATTTGCGTGCATGGTGGACAGTGCTTGCATTCGGGATCATGCGGGCGCCTCCCTGTGATGAGACATCTGCTGAATATTTCTGCTGAGCACTTGCTGCGGAATCCTTGCCACCTTGATCGTTGAGGGACTCTGTTGCTCAGATTATGCAGGAAGCATGTGGGCTGTGCGTACCTTTGAAAGCCAACAAACGAGCATGAAACAGGTAATTGGATTGGTGTGGATGGTGGACAGTGCTGGCATGCGGGATCATGCGGGCACCTCCCTGTGATGAGACATTTGCTGAATATTTCTGCTGAGCACTTGCTGCGGAATCCTTGCCACCTTGATCGTTGAGGGACTCTGTTGCTCAAGATTCTGCAGGAAACATGTGGGCTGTTAATATGTTTGCATGCCAGCAAGCGAGCATGCAACAGGTAATTGGATTTGCGTGCATGGTGGGCAGTGCTGGCATGCGTGATCATGCGGGCACCTCCCTGTGATGAGATATTTGCTGAATATTTCAGCTGAGCACTTGCTGCGGAATCCTTGCCACCTTGATCGTTGAGGGACTCTTTTGCGCAAGATTCTGCAGGAAACATGTGGGCTGTTAATATGTTTGCATGCCAGCAAGCGAGCATGCAACAGGTAATTGGATTTGCGTGCATTGTGGACATTGCTTGCATGCGGAATCATGGGGCACCTCCCTGTGATGAGATATTTGCTGAATATTTCTGCTGAGCACTTGCTGCGGAATCCTTGCCACCTTGATCGTTGAGGGACTTCGTTGCTCAAGATTCTGCAGGAAGCCTGTGGGCTGTGTGTACCTTTGCAAGCCAACAAACCAGCAGCATAAAACAGATAATTGGATTGGCGTGCATTGTGGACATGGCTGGCATGCGGAATCATGCGGGCACCTCCCTGTGATGAGATATGTGCTGAATATTTCTGCTGAGCACTTGCTGCGGAATCCTTGCCACCTTGATCGTTGAGGGACTCTGTTGCTCAAGATTCTGCAGGAATCATGTGGGCTGTTAATATGTTTGCATGCCAGCAAGCGAGCATGCAACAGGTAATTGGATTTGCGTGCATTGTGGACATGGCTGGCATGCGGAATCATGCGGGCACTTCCCTGTGATGAGATATTTGCTGAATATTTCTGCTGAGCACTTGCTGCGGAATCCTTGCCACCTTGATCGTTGAGGGACTTCGTTGCTCAAGATTCTGCAGGATACATGTGGGCTGCGTGTACCTTTGCAAGCCAACAAACCAGCATGAAACACGGAATGGGATTTGTGTGCATGGTGGACACTGCTGTCATGCGGAATCATGCGGCACCTCCCTGTGATGAGACATCTGCTGAATATTTCTGCTGAGCACTTGCTGCGGAATCCTTGCCACCTTGATCGTTGAGGGACTCTGTTGCTCAAGATTCTGCAGGAAGCATGTGGGCTGTGCGTACCACGAGCATGAAACAGGTAAATGGATTGGTGTGGATGGTGGACAGTGATGGTATGGCGGGTTTATGTGGGCACCTCCCTGTGATGAGACATTTGCTGAATATTTCTGCTGACCACTTGCTGCGGAATCCTTGCCACCTTGATCGTTGAGGGACTCTGTTGCTCAAGATTCTGCAGGAAACATGTGGGCTGTTAATATGTTTGCATGCCAGCAAGCGAGCATGCAACAGGTAATTGGATTTCCGTGCATGGTGGATAGTGCCGGCATTTGGGATTATGCGGGCACCTCCCTGTGATGAGACATCTGCTGAATATTTCTGCTGAGCACTTGCTGCGGAATCCTTGCCACCTTGATCGTTGAGGGACTTCGTTGCTCAACATTGTGCAGGAAACGTGTGGGCTGTGTGTACCTTTGCAAGCCAACAAGCCAGCATGAAACAGATAATTGGATTTGTGTGCATGGTGGACTTTGCTGTCATGCGGGATCATGCGGCACCTCCCTGTCATGAGATATTTGCGCAATATGTCTGCTGAGCACTTGCTTCGGAATCCTTGTAAGACCCCTTTGGGCCCTTTAGGACTCCTAAGCGCAAGGGGTTAGTTGCAGGACTTTAATTGTTCCTGGACATACTGTGGATGGACGAAATCCTGCACCTAAGAAACCCTGGAATGATGAATTCCCTGTAAATACCAACAAACAATGGTTTCCCATGGTTTGAAAGAGGTGCAGGATGTCGTCCATCCACAGTATCCGCCACAAATACAACAGAATCAACGCGACTTAGAGTTTTGGCCAACATTCTTCGGAATTCCCTCTGGCTTTTCTGCCAGGCGGAGAACAACCGAGCGCGGAATGAGGCGCCTCTCCAGCTGAATTAGCTGAGCTCCAGGCGTTGTTCTGAAGGGACGGATCCGGACGGCTCTGGGATTTTTTAGCTTCCCGATCCTTTGCTTGAACATCTGGGTTGGCATATTCCTCTTCAGTTACTAAGGCCGGCCTTTTGTCAAGGTGCTGGAACTGGTTTGCATGAACCCCTCTCGGGTTAAGGCCGGCCTTTTCTCCCAAGGGCCTCAGTTCCAGCTGTTTCAGCTTTTGGACACGGGCCTTCAGCTGAGTTTCTTTCTGTTTGGTGCTCTTCACAGGTATCCTGTTCCAATAGGTATTTTACAGATCTATTTGAACCGCTGAGCTGCCGAAGTTCAGCGTGGAACATAGAGCTAGGGCCTTCTTGAGGATGGCTTTTTTTGGGGTGTCAAGGGAAACCGTCCATTGAAGGGGTCCCGGGTGGTTTCACGGTAAATGCAAGGGTCCATTTCAAGGTTCTCCTCGTTTGGAGGCAAACCCGACTGCCATGCCAAATGGCACGCCTGAATTGCAACACAAGGGAAAGCAAGAGCAACTGGCGAAACCCCCCATGATGAAAAGCAAACGCACTTTGGTATGCTGGATTGGCTCCAGACCATGGGAAACAATGCAGTGCACCCCTCAAAACAAAAGCCCACAAAATCCACTTCGCACTGTAATGTAATCAGTATTCCAAATTGACATCCATTGCAACTGGTGTGAAGTGACATTTGCAAGATTCCTGATCCGGCATTTCTCCAACAAAGATGCCGTTGCAACTCACACAATCATCAATGTGTCACTTTTGCTTGTGGTTTTGTTCCCTGGTCTCACCCATTTCTCAATGCCGGATGGGTATTTCGCGCGCAACCTGTTTCTCCGAACCCGAGTCACTAGCCACGGGAGCTTTCACCAAAGCACTGGCAGCAGCCTAGTGCTGGTCCGCCATCGAATGCGATTGGTTTCTTTTGCATGGCGATGATAGAAGGTTTCCGTGCCTTTGTGGCCCCTTTCTATGTATGTGATTATACACGTGTAGAATTAGGATACATATATATATATATATATTGTTAATGTTGAAACGCATGTGGAAACATGACCTGTGTTTGAAATGCTTGACCATAATGGCATGTGCCATTTTGGCTCAAGCTTTGGCCCTGGGTTCTTTGAACCCAATTTGTGTGAAAAACCCACCCACCCACACCAAGGTAGGAGGTCATGGCGGCCGCGACCGCCAAACCACCGGAGGAGGTCCCAGCGGAGTTCAAGGAGGACGTGGCAAAGTTGCAGAAGCCACTGGCGGCCATCCTGGTGGGCAAGGAAATCCCCTGGGCCATCCAGGCGGCTCTGGGCGCATCGGGATACGTCACGGTGGAAGACCTGGCGGATCGCTGGAACACCCCGGCGGCGGCTAGGGAGAATGGTCCCCGGGACCTGGGGTTCCAGGACGGAGAGAATGGGTTCAACGCCCAGACCTCGGCCTTCACGGCGATGCGCCTCCTTCAGGCAGCTCGGGTGGCAGCCAACTTGGTCCGGGGGGGCAACCAAGGTGACCACCCGGCGGGCCAGGCGGGCCCGACAAAGGCTCCCTTGGAGGTCCTGTGTGACAGGCGCCAGCTGGAAGATGCTTACGTGGCCACGCATGGGACCCCGAAGCCGAGGTTGGAGTTCCAAGGTAGTGATGGCTACCTCAAGAAGCAATGGCGCATGATTGCCAAGGGCGAGCTGGGCTACATCCCGGCAAAACACATCGTGAGCGCGCTCCCGGAAGAAGGGGAACGCCCCTCATCCACCCACAAGAAGATCACGGTGGACGGCTGGGACAGGGAGGATGAAGAAGAGGTGAGGAGCCACCCTACATCTCGGCGCCAGCTGGAACGATTGCACCAAACCTTCAGGACGACGCTCCTGATGTGCGCGGCAGCACTGCCACAGTTTGGCAACCTGAGGGTCACCAAGGAGGAGCTGGATGATTGGTATGCCTGGTTCTATGGGGAAGACATAGCCGGCAGGAAGCCTCCCCCGAGCGACACCACCTTGCTGTTCGCAGAGCGCAATGCATGGCGCAAGATTCACGAGATGGTGCACCAGGGCACCACTCTCTCCGAAGCCCTCAAGAACATCAGGGGCGACTTCCTCTTCTGGCAACGGGAGGTCTATGAGCACCTCAACAGGGCGCCGGAGAAGGGGAAGAGCAAGAGCAAGGCACCCAAGGTGTGGCAGACTCAGTGGGAGAAGCCCAAGAAGGGGGGAAAAGGATCCTGGCCCTCGGGGCCGACCCGGTCCAAGCCGAAGGGCAAGGGCGGCAAGGGGAAGTCCCCCAACACCCCCTCGACCCCATGGCCGGACCACTGGGCTTTCAAGAATCCCAAAGGGGTGGCGTACTGCAGAGATCATCACCTTCACCAAGTGTTCGGGATCATGCGGCCGATCCCACAACTGCCCGGTCAGGAAGGATGGGTGGGTGTGTGATGCCCCCCCATCGAAGCATGTGCCACAGGCATGCCCACACCTTCCCAAGTGACAGGAGGCCACTCAGGGTGCCATAGGCCCCGTGGCTTCCTGGTCTCCGTTGGGATCACAGGCCACCAGTGCGAGAGTGCACACAGCGGGGGAGAGCCAACCCCACCAGAGCCACAGCGGAAGGCAGACAGAGCGGGGGAGGCCAGGACGGCCTCAGGTGGGAGGGGATTTCTCCAGGGTGCCACCGGCCCCGGAAGCCCCTCCACCGAAGAAGAGGAGCGGACCCAGCCAGGGCACTCCAGAAGGGCGGAAGCACCCCTTTCCCCCGCACCCACCGAGGCAGTGGGAAGAACCCCCAGAGAGACCCAGAGGTGAGGATCCGCCCGGCAAGGGGCGTTCCAAGGGCGGGCAGAACCGCCAGGGCAAGCAGCAAGCCCAGGGACAGATGACCGGAGGGTCAGACAAAGGACATACGGAATCCCTAGGGGGGGCAAGCCCCACTTTCCCATGGATGCAGGATACCCCGGAAAGACTGAGGCTCAGACTGAGGTGGACGCCACGTCCGGTGCCGGAGTCGTCAAAGCCGTCCCTCATCCTGCTGTACGCTGGGAAGGATGATGCGGGGGCCCTGGATGCTTACCTCCATGCCTACAACCCGGCCTTCTCGGAGTACATTTAAGCAGTGGACATCAGGCGAAAGAGTGGAGATCTTGGACAGGAAAGGTCGCCTTTGTGGGGGGCGGCCCCAACTGCAGGACGTGGAGCATTCTCAGATGGTTCCCCAAACCGGGGGGCCCGCCGCCGGTGAGGGGCAGGGCGGAGCAGACCCTGTGGGGCTTAGAGGACCTGGAGCCCCGGGTAATGGAGGACACGGACAGCGTGCTCATGCTCCGACAGATGTACCTGACCTTGCTGGCCTACCAGGGGCTAGGTCAACTAACGGTCCCGCAGGTGGGCTCCTCCTTCTGGGAGCACCCAATGGACCCAATGGAGTGCAGCAAGAGCCCGAGTGCAGCGAGGTGCTCATCGATCTGGGTCACACGGGCCTACATTCAATGGGCGAACGCACTCCACCACTCCCTCATCAAGTTTGACGAGTGCCGCCTGGGCCAGGTGGTAGTGAAGTCCACGACATTGTCAACGGACCTTCCCCTTCACCATTGGCATGATCTGCGATGCAACCACGGAGCTCACCCCAGGGGGGAAAAGCTCAACTCCAGTGACCTCAGCCGGTATCCAGAGCAGATGATGCAGGGTCTCGCAGCGGCCATCCTTTGCAGAGCGGGACCCGTCCTCGAGGCGCTGAGGCTAGGGGGCATGGTGCCCCAGGCGAACCCAACGACCCCCCCGAGGCGACAGAGGGAACCTTCTCCCAGCACGCCGGGGGACAACAAGCGCCAGTCCCGGAGGCTGGTGGCCGGCCAACAAGCGTTGGCGGGACTAACCTTGGGCTCACTTCCGGTCTCGGCATCAGACAATCCGGAGGCCCGGACACCAACACAGCCGGCTGGGGGGATGGTCGAACTTCGGGGTGGAACCTGAGCCATGGGCACGCCATTGCATGGAGATCTCGGATCGGCCCACCACCCTGCCGATCACGCACGACCCAAATCTCTCCGACAAGGTTATGTACCTCCAGATGGCCTTCAAACAGTGCCCCCTAAGGGATGGGGGTGGGAAGCCCTCACTGGGACGGCTGGCCCCGTGGACTCGGCCACTGTCCAAAGCAGCAGTGATGGGGGCCAAGATCTGTGTCCTCACTTCGCCATGGGGGAACAAGCTCCAGGAGTCGCTCTCGTTGTCACATCCCTTCCCGGAGGACCTGCTGGAGGATATCAGGGAGATCCTGGCGCCTGGGCGGGCCGACCAGCTGAAGGCCAACCCTTCTTCCTGGACATCTTACACAGCGTGGCGCTGAACATTCAGGACCCCGACCACCAGTTTCCTCGGGATCTGGAACAAGGGGTCCCACTGGGGGTCACGGACCCACCCCTGGCCTCGCCGGGCATCTGGCCACTCAAGAAGGAGCTAAAAGGGCTCCCCCATCCCACGGGCCGGGGTAACTACCCTTCGGCGGATCACTTCAGTGAGCTCATCCGTGGCACATTCCTGGAGGAGGTCCCCATGGGCATGGTAGAGGGCCCCTTCACTAAGGTGGAGGCAGCATCGCGCTGTGGATGCAAGATTGAGGACCTTTGTCCCGGCCCCCTAGCGGGCATCGACGAAGGGGACAAGATCCGCACCATCTACGATGGCTCGGTGGGCGGGGCCCATGACACCATCAGGAACCAGACGGTGGAAAGGACAACGGCTCCGACGGTGCTGGATGGGGTACAAGCTCTTCATTGGCTACATGCGGCAGCTGCGGAGGGACCGCCCCGAGGGAGGTCGTCAAACCTCCACCTGGGGGCTGGCTATGGCCGGAGCCGGGCACCAGGTGGGTGCTGCTCAAGGCGGACGTCACCAAGGCCCACCGGAAAGTAAAGGTCCTCAGGAAGGACTGGCGGTTCCAGGTGGCTTCACTGGGGAAGAATGGTGGGTGAACAAGGTAGGCACATACGGCATGGCCAGT